TCTCTATCTAGCTCTCTCTATCTCTCTCTCTACTCTCTCTCTTATCTAGATCTCTCTCTCTCTCTCGCTCTCTCTCTCTCTCTCTCTCTCTCTCTCTAGCTCTCTCTCTCTCTCTTTAGCTCTCTCTCTCTCTAGCTCTCTCCCTTTTTCTCTCTCTCTCTATCTGGGTGTTCATGGTTTATAATTAATTCCTAGTTTAGAGTCATATCTGAACACACCCACACTCACACACATTGAGAGTGCTAATTGAATTTTTAAGCTGCTGCTGTTCGTTAGCATTTTGCCTTGTAATATGTTGTGTGCTACTATGTGTGTGTGTGTGTGGTGTGTGTGTGTGTGTTGTGTGTGTGTGTGTGTGTGTGGTGTGTGTGTGTGTGTGGGTGTGTGTGTGTGTGTGTGTGTGTGTGTGTGTGTGTGTGTGTGTGTGGTGTGTGTGTGTGTGTGTGTGTGTGTGTGTGTGTGTGTGTGTGTGTGTGTGTGTGTGTGTGTGTGTGGGTGTGTGTGTGTATGGCAGCACTGATTCATATTTTAATGTAGTCCTGGGATCTGGGATTTCTACTATGTGTGTATTGTAACACTTTCACAGTCGGCTGTGCCTGTGGTGTGAATTAGTGCTCAGACCATTTCACTAATGGAGAGGCAGCTGACGTCACAGCAACAAGCTTGTTCATTGCAGTACATTAGTAGTGTATGATTCATGATGTTAAAATAAATGTAGCAGTGGATCATGATTGGCCAAACAGAAGTGACATTACAACAAGCACATCATCAACTGGTGATGCACTAACCTACATGTGCTCATCAGTGTTTGTGGGGAGGAGGCCATCCAGAGGGATTGCCAGTCTGAACTTTAACTGCCTTTCAATGTGTTCTTCAGTCCTGGGACACCTTTAATGGAGCTTGTGCACTCATGATGCTAGTGTTGCTACCGTTAACGCATGCACTCACTTCTCAACCCAACAAGCAGCAGCACAGTCACAACAGGCACTGCACCAGTTTTAGGAAATAAAGAATATTACCACACGGATCTAATGAAAGCTACAACTCTGTTGCTGTGAGGATCTAGGCCACATTCCAGAAGAACTGCAGTCTGACTGTGCAGTCCATGGATGTATAATAAGAACTGGATACAGCGTCGGAGGCGGGGCCTCGTTCATTCCTTTGAGAGCTGCTCATTGGCGCATGAAGAAAAAATGTCCTGTCATTTTCTAAAGCAAAACGTCACAGATTACCCGACATGCCTGGCTGTCAGAGCAGGAGTACCCGTTGGAAAAAATAAAAAAGTATATATGTAATTACAGGTGGATTACTTTGCTTTTATAAATAAATTATATGAGTAGTCAAGTAAATGGAAGAAGCTAAGCAAAAGTGTTAGTGAGTGTTTGTGTGTGCGTGTGTGTGTGTCCCCGAAAGACCTGAAACAATTACAAATAGGTGCACACTTACCTTTATGTGCTCCTAGCAATACATGTTCTGTGTGTTAAAATAGAATGAAGCTGTCACTCACCGGCCACAGTGACCTTGGCAGTTCTGCTAACAATGGTGCCCAGTCCTTCCAGTGTGGCAAGGCACTGGTATTCCCCCTCATCAGGTCGGTGGTGCCGCGAGTGGACAATGTTCTGCACCAGCAGCGAGCCGTTAGCCAGCTGCTGCCGCCGCTCGTCCACCACGGCGCTCAGCATCACGCCGTCCTTACGCCATGTGAGGAGGGGGGGTCCTGCTCCTGCATCGCTCTGCGCCTGGCAGTCCAGCTGCAGCACGCCGCCTCGCACCGTCACTGAGTCCTGAGGCTCCTGGCTGAAAGAGAACTCCACAAAACTCCCTATACCCGACGAGGAGGAGGAGGCATCTGGGGCTAGAGGAGGAGAAATAAATAGGTAAAGTTAGATGGAACCACCAAAACATGATATCAACCGATTTTTATTAAAGGTCCCATGTCATGCTTTTCTGGTTATTACCCGTCCCCTTGTGTGTTATGTAGCTTTTTCTGCATGTAAACGGTCTGCAAAGTCACAAACCCTCAAAGTACACCCTGTAGCGAGTAAAACTCTAACACTAGAGTGTTAGTCTAGTGTTAGTGCTAGTGGAGCCTCGCAGCGGCAAAACTGTGGCGTGCTTACACTGTAGGTGCACCGCGTTTGGGGGTGCGGGGGGGGGGGGTGCGGGTGCTAGTGGAGCCTCACAGATGGGGGTGCTGCAGCCCCCTCAGCGTCCATGGTGCTCAGGCTGAGTTCAGGCTGAGTTTCGCGATGTCTCGCTGTCTCGCAGACCCCGCGCAGCAACCAGGAAACAACACCAGCAATACAGCTCACACTGTCCGCTCCTCACAGCAGCAAGCCGCGCAATGTCTCACCAACACGGCACCCAGACCCCACGCAGCATTCTCATCTGTTTGTCATTACTGGTGTCATTTTCTGGTTGCTAACAAACGCCATTGTAAAACATAATCACTGATGTTCCGCTGTAATGGTGGTTGACTCATCAGAACAGAGTGGGCGAGCTGACCAATCAGAGCACACTGGGCTCACAGGGAGGGGGGGGAAGGAGCTCCAGCAAGCCGTGTAGGACAGAGAGTGAATACACATACTATACAGAGATGCTGTATGAGAAACCAATGTGAGTTTGGAACATTGAACAATGTAAATCTATTCTAGTAGACCTCAAATGAAATGAAATAGGGCTGCTCGATTATGGCAACAATCATAATCACGATTACGTTAGTCAATATTGATATCACGATTATTAAATACAATTATTAATTGACTTTGAAAACATCAATTTATTGAACTTTAAAAAATAAATAAAATAATAATAATTTGAACAGTATCTTTTTAACAGTTGATTACCCTGAACTTTAAGTATAATTCAACTGCAAAGTATTCAGCTGAAGCCACATATTTTTCAACTTCTCCACACGCATTTGTCATATAGGGCAGTTAGTGCAGATCTGGTGAAATGATGCCGAGATCGCATTGCGTAATGCTTGTCCATAGTGTTAACCAGTTGTCCATAGTGTTAGCCAGCAGCTTAAACCCCTGGTTGCCAACTGTGCTAACTGGGCGCATGTCTTTAGCTATGTAGAATGTGATGGCATCAGTGGCGCTGCCCATTGGGGTGCTAGGGGCGCCGCCCCACCTCTTCCCACATTCTAGATTGTCATTAAAAAATCAGTCATTAATTTTATACATTTTTTTTTAATGAACAAGGTACATATTATATAGTTGGTGTCATTTAAATGTATAATCTACAATAAAATATCGATAAAAATAGTTTTACGATGTCTAAAGTTACTGATAAGTCACGTGTTTCCTGCTTGGGGCGCAGACATCTTTGGCCATTGACTCTCGTTATAAGGGGTGGATGTGCAGTCCGTACCTCTTCAATGCAACAGATAGGAGCAGCTCGGGGCGCACCAAACATCGCCCAAAGCAGCTGTTGACACCGCCAACAACTAGGGGGCAGCAGGAGCTCCAGAGTGAGAGATTGACGTTTGAATGAGAGAGTTAGACAGAGAAGGAGTGTGAACAAAACTAGATAGAGAATATGGAGAAGGAAAATGATGTTTAATCCTTAAAGAAACCCCCTTTGAGAGGAGGACACTGGAGGGAAAGCTGAGAGTGAAAGAGCTCGGACCTGGAGCCTCATTTATAAAGGGATATACGCTCAAAAAATGGCGTACGCCAGTTTCTACGCAATGTTTGCGATTTATAAAATACTAACTTGACGGGAAAATGTGCGGTCCTCCACGCAAACTCTAACCCATGCGTACGCACTAAGCACAAAAACGGGAGAGACGAGAAACTGTGACACCGTTGGCAGAAGGAAGAATGGAGAGACATATGTGGAAATAATACCATAAACAAAATGTTACCTCTCATTTATCACATATGAAGAATTCATTTTCAAACATTGATTAAAGCCAATCTTAAAATGATTTAACAAACGCCTGTTTGAGACTCCTCAGTGCACACAAACACATAACTTGGAGAAATAAATACGGATATGTTATTTAAAACCACCTCGAATATGTTGTCCTAAAGTTATGAAATGTTTTCTCATAAATGATGCGGTAAGCCAACCCAGTCTCACAAAAAAACGTGTAATAACTACGTTGGTCCACAACTTGGGACGTAGTATTTCTACAAAAACGCCTCTGAAATGGTAAGATCCCTATGTCACGTGATCTTCACATTTCTCCCTGCAGAAAAAAAAAACATGGCCGACATTCGTTTTATTCTCGGTGGAAAATGCCTATTTTAAGGTTAAAATAAAGATTAAAATGCGTTTTGATATAATTTGATGTGAGAAATATGAGTTGTTATTTCAGATTATGTGTGCAGTGGATGTACATGATCTTTACTTTGCTAGTTATTACGAAGATTACTTCAGGAAATTGTGTCCGTTTAACGTTTTCATTGTTACCAAGGTGGTTGCTAGGGACGCTGCTATCGATATTATTTCTGTTATGTTGTGTAACTGTTTAATGGTGTAATCTTTATTGCTACCCCCGACCCGTCAATGTATAGTGTTGGTCCACAGCGCAAACGTATTAGTTTAACAAAATCTGCATCTAAAATTGTGGCATAGATATGTTATTTTCCCCTGTGCAATTCTCCATTTACTCAACAATAACACATAATTATCCTTGTGTGTATTTATCTGTTTGATTAATAAACACAAGTTGGAGTCCGTCAGGACCGAGGGTCGGAGCAGCTAATTTGCTTTAGAGAATTTTACACCCGGAAGTAAGTATTCTCTCCGCTTCGCTTGACAAACCCCGTGATAGTCCTCAAGCTCTGATTGGATGTTTGAGTGTGCTCCGAGGGTTACGCCGAGCGTCGAACAGCACTTTGAAATGGGATGGAACCACGGCACACTGTCCAAAACTGGATTTGAACGGGTCCACCCCGTCCCCCCCTCCCCCACCCCGTCCCCAGAACTACACATGCTGGCTATTGCTCTATGGCACGTCTCTGCTGGGAGTTGTAGTTTTAAAAGACGTTTTCGTATTTCCCATAATAAGAAGTTGCCAGTATTAAACTGTGTACATCCCTGGAGGTTTAGGGGATAGGAAACACTCAAATTGAAAACATATAATTAATAAATGGGTGAAAATTGCTTGTGCCCATAATGGGCAGCATTAATATATACCCACATGCCAGCTAAGGTCAGAAGAGCTTTGTTTAACAGCTGGTCTTATGTCTGTGACCCCTCCTGTTGTTCATTGATAAGCCTGAAACATGCACTTGTCAAGATTCAGAGGCAAATATGGCAGTAGCCATCGATCAGCTTAAGATAAGATATACTTTATTGATCCCAAGTTGGAAACATTTGCGTTACATCAGCATGTGTAACAGTTGTAAATATGCAGTGGTGTTTATTTGTAAATCATTTATTATAATCACACAAATTCTGTGTTTTATATTTAATAATTCTGTGTTCTTTATTTATTGATTGTTCAATACCTGACAAGGCCGGAGATGAAATATCATACATCTTATAAGAGTATAATACATTATGTATAATATCAGTTAAAATAAGTGCTTCAACATAGTTAACATTGCTGGACGTACACAAATATTGATAGATGTCTTGTAATGCACTGTTGAGGAACCTGCGACCCAAGTTTTTCAGTCAATGCATAAACTACACTGTAGTTGTGTATAATATGATATGTCAATAAACCTTAGAAAATCTTGAAATCTTGAAAGGGATGTGCAAAATAGTCATTATATACAGTCTTTAATGAACTATTAGTAGAGAATAACGAGTAATTAATATACTTTATAGGGATCCTATTAATATCTAATAATAAAAATAAGGAAATTCAATAACATGCTTTAACCACTAGGTGTCCCTTTGATGTTTTGCATCAATCTTGATACAGGGTACTTATTATATGTTGTACTTTGGATTCCTAAAGCTTTTAGTATACTAACCCATCATCCAAGGTTAGTTTTCACTATAAGTACAACATATATTTGGACGGACACTATAATTTACAGTTTTTTACTATGTTCAATCTGAATTTTCTTTAAAATAAAAAACATCTATATTGATTCTGACTTTTCTACATCCAACTCACAGGTTTATCATTACTTTGAGAACAAATATTATTAATTTAACCCTTTTAGAATATATGGTCATTTGTTCTGGGAATGTCATTTTCGAGCCTGAGACCTGAAAAACAGGCTCAGGGCTTAACAGGTTAATTGCACAGCCCTAAAATGAAATACGTCTTATTGTTATAATCAGTGTTGTGCTAGTTACTGAAAACCAGTAACTAGTTACCATTACTAGTTACTTCATTTCAAAAGTAACTCAGTTACTTTACTGATTACCTACACCCAAAAGTAATGCGTTACTGTGAAAAGTAACGTTTTCGTTACTTGAAAAAAGGGCTCCCATTAATGCCCTTATAGCCTTCATTTCAGTACTGTTATTGCATTGGAGAATAATACTATCTGTTGATCAACTTGACATGCATTATATGCAATCTGGATTGCATCGATATTAGCTGGCTTTCCATTTTTGTATATTCTTTCTCCAGGTAGTTGGAAAAAGTTTTCCGTCCCATATGCCGCCCAGACATGCTATCATGCTAACTAGCTCCCTGAAAGCGGGTGACTCCACTGTAGCAATAGCCTGCATGTGTTCTACAACATACCGTGCAATGGCTTTATCCACTTTTCCCTGGATAACAGTCCTTTGGTTAAAATCCAGCCGCTGTTGCTTAGGTGGAGGTGGAGTGGCGTCAGCTGAGTCTCTGTGGTCTTAGTTACTAGCTTTGTCCCATCATGTTGTTTTTGCAGATGTTTTAAGAGATTTGAATGACTGGTTTGGGCAGTAGATAGG